CAAATATGGAAAAATTCTAACAAAAATATTATTGTTATACCAAATATAAAATTTGTTCTTTTTGTCTTAATAAAACGAAAAGTGATACGTAACACAACACTTTCACACCATATAACACACCAAACCAAACTTATAAATAGTGAGACAACTTGAAAATATTTGCACGCACCCTATATCTCGCCATATTATATTATAATTGTATTTCTGTTTATTGTTATACCAAATATAAAATTTGTTCTTTTTGTCTTAATAAAACGAAAAGTGATACGTAACACAACACTTTCACACCATATAACACACCAAACCAAACTTATAAATAGTGAGACAACTTGAAAATATTTGCACGCACCCTATATCTCGCCATATTATATTATAATTGTATTTCTGTATATTTATATTGATAACTGTATTATCATTAGTAACTCGTCTATTTATACATTATAACAAATTTAGGAACATAGATAAAAAAGTGATTCCTCAACTGTGTATTTTGAGGATTTACGTGACAAATAATGGGTAAAAGAATGTTAATTTATACATGGTGGGTGGTATGTTTGAATTTGGCTGTCTCCTACAAACTCTTCCATGTATGAACAATGACGTTTTCATTTTTACCTCTCATAAGCAACTCGTCTCAACTTTTGCATTTCCACTTTCTTGGATTAATATGGCTGAATTCATCAGAGCTTGCTGCAAGAAAAATAAATATTAGTTACTTTTTAGGCTAATGACATAAATCGAGGATTTATTAATTATCAAGAAAAATAATTATTAGTTACTTTTTAGGCCAATGACATCTATCGAGGATTTATTAATTATCAAGAAAAATAAATATTAGTTACTTTTTAGGCCAACGACATCTATCAAGGATTTATTAATTATCACGAAAATTAATATTAGTTACTTTTTAGGCTAATGACATCTGTCGAGGATTTATTAATTATCAAGAAAAATAAATATTAGTTACTTTTTAGGCTAATGACATCTATCGAAGACTTATGAATTATTGTATGTTTTTGTAAAGAATTTGGCTGAATTTCTGAGTGGAACTAACAAAACACGTGCGTGGTTTAATCCCTTATCGTATTATCTAAAGTTGCTGTAGAACTAATTGACAATTCGAAGAATCAGAAAACTTTAAAGAAACCAAGTACAAATCAGAATCTGGAACTAAAAACAACAACAGAAATGCATTATACTTGTTTCTTTCTTATGAAAAGAATAAACAATTCAAAAATAATTTATGCTATAAGAAATGTTTCAACGATAGTGAATAAAATATAATGCAGACAATTTTCGGAATCGCTTACATGTTTAATGGAATACAACTAAAATTCTTAAGAAATGTTCCGATGTCCATTATACTGTTGTCAATTGTGTCGCTTTCTAACGAGGCCTACAGTAGGAAAATAAAGGAAAAAAATCCCCCCCAAAGGTTTTACTAAAACAAATAACTACTGACTTTTGGAAATAAAATATTCACGAACGATGGTAACGATTTACATCTTTATAAATATAATAGTACTGTCTGTTGTATGTCCATGTAACTACTTCGCAGGACAATTTACATCTATATAAATATAATAGTACTGTCTGTCTTTTGTATGTCCATGTAACTACTTCGCAGGGTTTGGATTGATCCTCACCAAAATTGGTATGGAGTTTCATTGGGTTCATGCAAGAGTACATATTAGGTCGTCAAGAAATTAATGCGCGTTTTGGAACACTTTCATTAACCACCTCCCAAAAAACGTACATCACGTATAATAGTTAAACAAACCGCCTAAACGTCACATTAATGTAGTCTATATGTGTAAAGTTTGGTATACTCTAATCCCTTATTGTGATGACAGACGACAAGACACACATTTGGCATGTAATGCTGTTTGAATACAAGAAGGGAAACAACGCCTCTGTAGCCACAAATAATATCAAAGAAGTTTATGGAAATGTTTTGAACGTTCGTAAGCGTCGACGATGGTTCAATAAATTTCATTCAGGTGACTTTAGCCTTCAATACTGTGATGGCAGAGGCCGACATGTTGGAATTGATATTGATGCTCTGAAGACGCTTGTTGAGTAACCTCGAGAGGATTCGAGGAACAACTAAAGTGGTGGAAATATCGAAGAAAGTTCAGAACAGAAGATTGCAGTGGTATGGGCACGTGATGAGGAGGGAAGATGATTATATAGGCAAGAGGGTTTTGGAGGTGGAGGGGAGAAGGAAGAGAGGAAGACCAAGGAAAAGATGGAAGGATTGCGTGGATGGAGATATTAGAGAGAAAGGCCTTGTTGGGGACGAATATGAAGACCGAGGAGAGTGGAAACGTGCTGTCAAAAATAGCAACCCCGTATAGATACGGGAAAAGCTATAGAAGAAGAAGACTAAATTCTGGGTTATTTCAAATTATACTGGAGATACTGTAGTTTCACAGAGATTTGGACTATTAGGTGACCTGGGCTAACAATAAAACATAAGTTGAAACAGATGTATACTGTTATGAGTATTAAATTATTTAGGATAAATAACTTAGCTTCATATTACAATTTGAAATCATTCTAGAAAGAAAAAAGGTTAATGTAGATTTATTTCAGATTTTTTATGGTGGTTATGAGATTGGTTAGATTGACTGTCCTTGTATAGACTTAGGGTATGGTAGTAACCGATAAAATATAAAGTTTTAGTAACAAGAAATATTTGAATTTTATTTAGCAGATTTTAGAGATTATGAAAATTAAATTTGACAATTTTCAGGTGGCAAAAAGCATATTTAATCTTAACATAAAAATCATTTTGCACTCAAAGCAGTCAACACTTTGACTCCATATATTCACAGAGAAATTTTTAGTGAAACATTTTACTAAAAATTATGATTTTTTTGTCTACAAAAGACTTGTCATGCTTACTGGAAGCTTGCAAAATTTCGTGAAGATACACAAAACATATTAAAAGTTATAGTATAGAAACTATAAAGATCAATTTGGGGTTACAAACTCAGCCAATTCAACCAAGTTAAGTCCATGTTGATAAAATTTGGTCATTTCATTTTTCACTTTGAGTTCAGTCTCTTTATTTCATTCATTCTTATGATTTAGTTACTCAGAGTTATATCAGTAACTTGTAGCATTTCCCTTCAAAAGTAAAAAGATCTTATACTTTTTTACTTTTTTTGTTATTGTATGACAATGGGTACTGTAAAAAAAAATAGTTTGTTATTATTATCACACGGAAATACCAGTTTTACATGGCAACAAGGTCAACAGAGTATTGGTTCACAAATATTAGGCTTCCAGTCATTCCTCTCATTCAACAATCACATACCTTAACTAGATGAAGAATGAAATGGGTATTCATGGTATTCCACACGAAGACATACCAGCCAGATGCGGCACCTGTGGATTTCTATGAGATCAGACTGTTGAAACAGATGCTAGGAAAATGTCGTCCTCATACTCTAGACTGCTTTTGAAAAGCAGGAAGGAAGGAGCAGTATGCTTTGGATATGACAACCTTACAACCTACCAGTTGCTGGATAGATCTCATTTGGAACAGTGTGTTATGGTTAGCTTATTTAAGATAGAATGTTGAGTTGATAAAGAGGTGCAGAGAAGATCTACCAGGATAATTCTACTTCTGGAGGGTTATCATACAAGGATCAACTGAAATGTCAACATGTTTTTGATGGAGAAAACGAGTATTTGGGAGATATAATTTACTTTTTTTTTAGTTGTTATAGGTTTCAAATCCATATTTTCATGTGATATATTCTTAAAACTTTGCAGGCTGTAAAACTATAGATCATACAAGTTTGAATCAGGAAAGAAACCCAATAACAAAAGTGCTTTTAGGAAAGGACTTTCCAAAAGTGCTTTGGTTACTGAGCTTCTTTTCTGATGCTAACTTTTTCTATTGAACTTACATGCTTTGGAATATCCTGAGAAGACACAAGTTTAAGATATGGATACCTCACATATGACTATTTAAGGCAATGTTACTTTTCTAACAGTGGTTAGACTATGTAATGGTTTGTCTTTAGGTGTGGTAGAAGCTGAAACATTAAATTAGTTTAAGAAGAGATTGAATGAAAATTTCATAGTCAAGATTAGATATAGAAAAAGGGTGTTTCTTTATATAAGTATGTAGATTTTAGTACAAAATGGGGTAACCTACATTGAAGAAATGTTCCCTTCTTATTCACTGGAAATGAATTGAAATAAAAAAAAAAGCAATATTATAATGATAAAACAAGGACAGCCATAAAAACACAAGTTTCACAAGAAGGCACCCCTTTCATGATGTTTTTATACTAATATCAGTTTGGAATACTAATGTGTATATAACTTATTGTTTAATCTACGAGATATGGCATCTACTCTTTCTATTATTAAAGGGTAGGCTATTTGTGTAAAATTATGGCAAATTGTATGTGAAATATTACAAACTAGAAAAAAGTTAATATGCTGGATTAACACTTCTTTAATACTTCTTATGCACTTCTGAATTATCTGTTTCATTACTAATATTACCTCAAAAGCCACATTGGATCTACTATTTTCTCTTTAAAATCTGATCTGCTTTCTTCAAACTTCATCATCATTCTAAGAATTTCCATGGCATCTTCAGCCCATATTTCTTTCTTGTACATAGTTTTACACCAGTTCTCTTGGTCCATTCTGAAAGCTTGTTCTTGAAGCCTAATATATTCTTTGGTCCAAACTAACTTGTGTTCTTCTTGGTATGCCATATCTCTTGTTTGTTGATTTAGTGTCTCTAAGCTCCTAGCTACCTCAAGTAATCTCTTCCCATCTCTCTTTTTAAATAAAATCTTTGCATTTTCTGTATCCAAGTCAATTTGAGAAAACTTCAAAAAATATGCTTTTGCATATGCAGCGCCTGAAGTTGAAGGTAACTTGCATGAATCCTCTTCCACTGATGAATACATTACTAGAAAAAAAAAAGGCTATTATAAAACAAAAAGTAATTCAACTAATTAAAGCACTTAATTTTGTTTTAAAGACTACATGAATCAATATAAAATTTGATTTTTACAGAATAAAAATAAATTTGTCCCATCTAAGTTATCATGTTTTCGAATATGACTATACTCCAAACTACATATAGAACCCTTTTTCTTATATTCAGTCCTGAACTATAAAATATTCATCTAATTTTCTCTTAAACTTCTTCACTGTTGCAACTGTGCCACACCTACAGGCACACTATTCCATAAGCCAACCATCTTGAATCACTTTTAGAAACCTCCCTCCCTCCCTATTTGACTCCCTACAATCCCAATCAATATGTATAAATCAACTACCATGTTTACTGATACAGAATCATTATTATATAAAGCCTTGATCTCATTACACAATTTGTCATTGTGATCACATGTCCTATAGGTTCTAAAAAATTTTAATTAAAAACTTTGTACCATTCAAACCCCTTATTGTAACCAAGATAAACTGAACCTCTTGACTATCAGTTTTGTCTTCAATTTCATCTCTTATGGAGAGTCAGTCTACCACACTCTTTCAAGAAATCTATCACTACTGAAACTTGAGACCTGGAGTTTCAAAATAATTTCAGTTTTCAATGTCATCCAAGTTTAACCAAGCTTCAGTGATTATCACCATCACCATAGTCTACTATTTCAACTTCAGATCTGAATGTTAACCTTTTCTCTGTCTGGAAATGTATCTCGGAAAGATACTCACTTCTCAATAGAACAATTAGCTGATGCCTTGACACTACTATTGAAAAGGTTTTGCACAGGTATCAGACCATTGAAAGAGCTCTCACCCCAGCACATAATAACATGCACTAATCTATCTTGCTAAACAACATCACACCATATCCCTCCACCAATATGAGGGTGACATAACCTCCTTGCACAGTACTCCCCTTGAGCATTTTGCGTAAACCAAAAGCTTGTTCTTGACAAGGCACATACACACATAAGAAATGGGAAGATAGCGTGGATAGTTCTGTAGGTAGGTGAGCATATATTTGAAATAACTTTCTGGTGAGGAAAATGTTAACTAACCTACAATACTTACCTCTCCACAGAACAATTAGCTAGAATTCCACATTGGCATTAAGAATGAAATAAAAAAAATATTCTTTCTTCTTAGAATATAGAGACAGAAATTGAAAACTCATTGAGTGTGTCTCCAACAATGCATGTATATGTTGGGGGACTAAAGTGACCAGCACTTGGTGAGAGACTGTATCCATTTCTTGCAAGTAGTTCTCTGCCCAGTATTAGTGGTTGTTCAGAAAAGTTCATTCATTTCAAAAAATATTGTTTTTGTTTTTTTCTGCTAGTGTTGCAGCACTGGGTGGAACATACAGATTGTTAAACTACCCTATAAATATCAGGGAGTGAGAAAGACAGAAGCGTAACTAGAACAAGTTCAAACTATACATTATGCAGAAAATATTTACAAAAAAATGCAGATTCAGGAATGAATCTTCCCAGACCTACATCTCATCTCAAGATCAATCTGACTGGTCACAACCACCAGGAATGGTCTGGTTCTTAGTGACTAGGTGTCCTCTACTATTCTTCCTGGTTGATACTCTAACCATACTTTTGACCGAGGGGAACATCCACTAAGTGTCATCCAAGTTGGATTACATCACCCAAAGTGGAACTCTCCATGCTGAACCCCCAGTACAAACCAAACAGGAATCATTTCATAAGCATAAGGCACCTTATCAATAGTCTGTGCAATAGGTTATCACAAATAAGGACAGCAGAAGCTGTCCTGTTGAGTGGTTATTTAACCACTCTTCTATTTTTTGTGGTTGTTGCTGGTCCAGTATGGTTTGAAAGGCATATATATAGATGTTGCCAAAGCAGTTTTGAGGAAAACTCCATCTCAACAATGAGCACCAACTAGGAGCAAATGGGCTAACACTTTCTGTTATCCCTTACTTGATGTCAATTTTTGTATAGAGAAGTACTCAAGTGTGAGAGACCATTTTGTGGATTCCTATGTCTCCTTTTTCTAATATTTGTTTTGAGTGTTTTTGTTACTATTTCTATTGATGTTGTATTAAAAACTCACATATGAACAACCATACAGAGAAGAACTGAAGGGTGACTGGAGAAGACAGGCAGCCCACAATTTGGGTAGGAAGGAGCAGTCGGGAAATAAGATCAACTTGTCTCTGTGAAAAAAAGGTTTGGAAGGTGACTGAGGCAAAAATATTAGAGCACCATCCCTCACAAGCGAGAAGGAGAAAAAAATACACTATAATAAAAAGATGATACAAGGAGCAGGTGGTCAAAGATTTGAATGGAGATTTCAGTCTGGAATAAGAACTAGAAAAGAAGGACAACTGATTAGAAAGACCCTGAAGAGGTCCATTAGAACTGAAGAAAGAAATGAAGATGGCTAGGGAAAAGGACAGATGAACATAGACAAAACCTCTATAAATCTGATATCATAAAAATGGATAGACCACAAAGAAAATTAGATAAGGAAGAGACAGACAGCCTGGAGGAAAATAATGGTGGATGTATCAATGTCAAAAACATCCACCTATGATGAAAGACCACAAAGGTGGATGTTGAACAAGAGTAAGCAAGTAAACAGGCAAAGGCCAAGTATGCAAACCTGCCCAACATGCAAGTGACTGGACAAAAATTAAGCTACAAGATGGAAAAATTAATGGCTACTAAAATGCCAAGAGGCAAAAGAGTGCAAACTCATGACTGAATTAGTCAAATGGGGTGGACAAAAGAGTTGAAGCCTGGTATTGAGGAAGGCCACAAATATATCAATAAGAGAACTCCCATAATAGGAAAAAATCTACTGATACATGAGAGGATGTAAGGACCAATCTGTTGAAAGGATCTGGTGTGGGCAAGCCAGTCACTCCACCATTATGTTTAAAGCACCAACCCCATGAATACTGCAAACAGAAGTTATGGTCATGGTTCCAAAAGAGGAGCTCTAGGAACAAGATAGTAGAGGTCTTGTGAGTGAGCACCTCCATATTAATTGAAGTAAGAAACAACAGTGGGTTTGTCCAAATGGATAATAACAAGATGTACATACAGACATAACAGAAGATGGTGGAAGGCCCTATGAATTTCCAACATTTCAAATATGTTAACAAAACTCTCTACTGGATACAAAACACCAGAAATAGTGAATATGTCCAGAAATGTGTCCCATCTGGTGAAGAGTCATTCATAAATAGATGCAAGTCAAGGTGAGATGAAGGAAGAGGAGTGCCCAGCATGAGCAAAACATTTGTTTCCAAAGTGTAGAAGACATTCTTGTGAAACTGTGGTATAAAAGAAAATATTCTCTATAAAAACATTAAAATAAATAAAAATTATTTTCTGTGTTACTTTTTTTCCATTTTATCTTAAAAACCCAACAACTTGTATATCAAAACAAAACATTTATTAAATCAATTAGTCACTATTTTTATAGATGATACTTTTCCATCTTACAAACAGGTTATTAATGCCCTGATTAAAGAAATCACTTGACTTTGAAGCAAAAAACATGTCCATGTCCTCTTTAACACCTTCCACATTTGCATAATATGTTTTCCCATTAAGATGGTGTTGCAGCGAACAAAAAAGATGGTAATCTGAAGTGGTTTTTGTCTAGGACTGAGCTATTGTTTTTGACATTTAATATTTGCATGGAGAATCCATTTTTCACCACTAGTGACAATTCTGTCCAAAAATGATTCATGCGCATTACACAAGAAGAGACAAAGCAATGTTCACATATTGGAAATGATGATCATCAGAGAGTTTGTGAGGCCCCCAAACACCTTCTTTATGGATTTGTCCCATATTCCTTAATGAGATACATGCAATTTTAGGGCCATTTCACGAGTGTGTTGCCTTTTTCTAATCCTATCAAGCCTCGTCACTCCACACATCCATCTCAACATTTTCATCTAAGCTACCTCTAATTTCTTCTCTTGAGCCTTTTTGATGGGCCAGGTTTCCGCTCCGTACATCATCGCAGGTTTCACAATAGTTTTATAGACCTTTCCTTTCACCCTTGCGCTGATCTTATTGTCGCATAGCACTCCCGACACATTTTTCCAATTTCTCCATCTCGACTGGATTCTATGGTTTATTTCAGAGTCGAGTGTACCGTTTGATGCCACATAGGACCCAAGATACTTAAAGGTGTTTACCCTTTTAAGTTTATCGTTAAGTAAAGTAACATCCCCCATTTCCTCTTCTCCATTAAAAACCATATACTCTGTCTTCTCTCTACTGACCTTAAGTCCTCTGTCCTCCATTTCTCTCATCCATCTCTCCAATTTCTGCTCTACTCCCTCCCTGGTGGTATCTATGAGGACTATGTCATCTGCAAATAACATGTCCCAAGGTGCCGGTTCGATGATTTCTTGGCCCAGCACATCCATTATCACGTTGAAGATGTACGGGCTTAGAGAAGAGCCTTGGTGAAGTCCAACTGTTACTGTGACCTTCTCCGTCAGCCTGACACTGGTTCTTACTTGTGTCCTCGCTCCCTCATACATATCCTTCACCAACTTCACATACTTTTCAGACACTCCCTTATCTCTCAGGCATCTCCACACTTCCTCTCTCGGTACTCTGTCATATGCCTTTTCCAGATCCATAAAGACCAAATGTAGCTTTCTCTGTTTTTCACCATACTTTTCTAACATCTGCCTGACAACAAAGATGGCATCTGTTGTCCCTCTCCCAGGCATAAATCCAAACTGCTGTTCACCAATCTCTGTTTCTTGTCTTATCCTTCCTTCTACTACTCTTTCCCATATTTTCATTGAGTGTGACATCAACTTAATACCTCGATAGTTCCCGCAATCTTGGATGTCACCCTTTTCTTTGTATATTGGTATGATCACGCTATCTCTCCACTCATCTGGTATCTTCTCCTGCTCGTAAACCTTCCTCAACAGATCCCACAGCA